CTATCTGCATCCCTAGTCACTGCATCACACAGGTCCTATCTGCATCCTTAGTCACTGCATCACACAGGACCTATCTATACCCCTAGCTAGTGAGTCAAATGACTGTGTGAATGGCTCCAACATTTAATGTCATTTTAAAGTTAATTTTTTGCTGCTTACCACACAGAGTAAACAGAGTTAACTTAGTCTCTTATTACTAAAATCAATATCAGAATATTTCAGTCCCGTTTTCTCAGCTTCTCCCTGCTTTGTCTCTCTTGTTGACCAGAAGTTCATGTACTGAACATGACCATCAACATTTTTAGGTGGTAGCACTGGTTGGGAGAATACATTTCTTGATGAACAATGTGTATGCATTTAGATTTTAACTCTGAATTTTCTGGCTCAATCATCCTGGGACTTTTCTTCATGAAAGTCTCTAATTAAAAGCTTAACATTAACTAATACATTCCTGTCCCCTGTCTCCAGATTTGGGGGGAACTTCCAAGCAAGGACAGCTTTTCTTTAGTAAATGTAAGGTACTATTCCAATAAATGCTTATCCAAAGCCTAAATTTATCATAAAGAAAATACGTGCTTCAAACTAGTGTTACTTTATGTTCATTTTAGTCTCCGGGGTGGATAGCAAATGAATAAAATAGTGTGCAATTACTGCATAACTCTGAAAATACTTTTTACTTTGTAGGAGAAACGTTGACTCATGCATGTGCTGAAGAGACCAAGGAGAATTCTGGAACCTTCCTGTAGTCTTTGCCCGATCTCTTTCTGACTTGAGGAGTCAAGTGATAAGTCCACGCTCAGATGAACCTCAGCTTCTCATCAACCATGATGTCGCTCAGCAGTGTCGAGTTTTCCTTGCCTGATTTCTCTAGCAGTGGTTCTCAACCTTCCTAATGCTGTGAGCCTTCAGTACAGTTCCTCGTGTTGTGGTGACTCCCAACCATAAAATTATTTTTGTGGCTGCTTTGTAACTGTAATTTTCCTACTGTTATGAATCGTAATGTAAATATCTATGCTTTCTAGTGGTCTTAGGAGGCCCCTGTGAAAGGGTTGTTTGGGGTCTCGACCCACAGGTTGAGAACCACTGCCCTAGCGAGGGTAAAATTTTGTAATTTTGGCCAACACAGCAAGCAGTTGAGAGGTGATTTACTTTTATGTACTTTTTTTCTTTCAATTGGAAAACACATTTTTCTCTCCTTGGTAAAAGGGGACCACATCAGAGGCCACCCACTCTGCCCACACATAACAGAAATGTAAAAGTATTGGAAGGGTTTAGTGAGTTTGAAAAGGAAGTGAAAATCGATACCTCTGGCTTAAGAAGAGAAGGTCTCAGCAGTTGACGCTACCAAAGGAAATCAAAACAGGAAAAGGTTTAGGTAATGATTCAGATGGAGAATATAGAATATGATTGAGAAGACAGGA